AATTAAAGATTAAGGATTAATATGATAGAATACTTATTTTATTTATAAAATATTACAAAATTATAGTTAGTTTAACCTGGTCTAGTTTTTATCTATATTAGGACTAGACTAATCTATAAGTCCTTGAACCTGTTCTAACATTTACTATATCAATAATATTCTAAATAAAAATGGAAAAATAATGAAATTAAGAAGATACAGTAATCATTTTGTATGCAATTATTATTATACTTTTTATATATCATTAAATATGTATATATCAGATGAATATTTATTTTTATTATATTCTATAGAGATTCTTAGACTATTCTTATAAATCAATCTAGATTGAAAAGGAAATAAATCTTAAACTAGATCAGATTATTAGGACTGAAACTAGTCCTAGAACCAATTTAACCCTATGTTTATGAGAAATAATATATATAGTTTTAAATACTTTGATTTGGTTATATAATTTTTATATTTGTATTCATTTACAATAAAAATAATTTTATTTTAGTTTTCTATAAAATTAAACCTTTAATATTATATATGCTAAGGATCTAGTCTTATAAATCATCTAAATAGAAAAGGAAATAATATTTTAGACTAGACAAGACTGGATTAAATTGATTTAACCCTAACACTAACTGTAAATAATATCAAAATTGCTCTAAAATCAACTATCTGATTTCTAGCTAATTTAGACTATTTTAACTAATATTAACAAAGTTGCTAAAGCCTTATACAAATCTTTACAACAAATTGCTTAATTTTAAAATAAAACTAAAAAATGCAAATAAATAATATACTCTTATATTTCTTAAAATAGTGATAGTTTTATTTGCTATATTTATCTAACTTTTTAAAGCTTTTCATATGTAAAAATAAACAAAATTTTATAAAAATCAATAAAAAATAAATTTTTCATTTTCAAAAAATATGGTTAAGTAAGAAAAGAAAAAAGTTTTACTTTATTATCAAGTATTACTAAAAGGATTAAATATATATCAAACTAATTTATATAATATATATTATTAATTTAAAAAATATCTATATAATGAATCAAATATTATTGTTATATTATTAATATCTAAAATAATCCTATTAATTAATTATTATATAGATTTATCTAAATATTAACGATTTAATTAGAAATTTTATTTTTTAATTATAATATATAGTTTATAATATTTTGGGCATCTTAATAATATTATTTAAGTGGTATTCAAAATCTTTAAATAGCATTATAAAGATCATGATTGTAAATAATTTGATTAGAAATTTTATAACTAAAAGAGATAATATTTATTTAAATTCTATATTGCTTTTTGTAATATAAATTTTATTATTTTCAAAATTTTAAAAGATAATCTTTTATATTTTGAAGTTTATAAGATAATGTTTAGTTATATTTAATGATTATATTTTTCTACTATACAAGTAATAATAATATTCAAAGCTGATTTTATTTTGATAGATTTATATGCTATAGATAAGTAATTTTTATTAAGTTGCAATTTCATTATTAAAAAGATCAATAATATTATTACTTATAAGTTTACTAGAATATGAGGCCTTTGCAATAGAAAAGGAGGAAACTCAAAAAAAAATAAAAAATGAGTTAATAATAAATCTGAACAAATTATAGTATTTAGAACATTTTTGGCTTATAAACTAAAATTTTAATTTTTTAGAGTTTCCTTCCTTTCTATTACAAAGACCCCATATGTACATTCAAATAAATAATGAGTTATTTTACTATTATTATTAGTTTTTTATTTTTTTTTAACATAAAGAAAATCTTATAATTTTTATATAATTATTGAAATAAATTTCAACTAATTTTTATAACTAGAATAATAAAGTTACTAAAAAATCATGTTTCTGTTCTTCATTTATATTAATTTTATTAATAATATTACTTATAGTTATTAATTCTTTATTTATATTATCTGTAATTCTGAGATTGATTACTAAGCTAATTATAAGTTCTAATAAATTTATTTCTAAAATATTAAAAAATGATTAGAATAATTAATAAATATATATTTTTAAAGCAATCATCTATAAATTATTAAAATAATAACTTTACTATATATACTCATCTTTCATATTTAACATTCTTTTATGAACTATTTAATATTTAATTACAAAAAATAACAAAACTTAAGAAAATAAGAGCAGGTGTGAGAAAAATTTAAGTTTTAGAAATTTTTATTTTAAAATCAAAGTATATATCAAAGTATAAATCAATATAGCTAAATCATATTTTTACTCATATATTTTGCATTATATGTAAAGATGATACTACAACTAGTTGTAACTATGTAATACTTATTTATTACCAGTTACAACTAGTTGTAACTCAATTTTATTAATATTATAACTAGTTGCAATCTTGTAATACTTATTTTAATTATGAGACAGTTAAATTTCATAATTACTGATTGTTATATATTTTATATTTATAATTATATTATAATAAGTAAAATTTTAGATAGATTTAATTGGTAGATTAATAAGTCAATTTTATTGCTATATAGATAATTAAAAAGATTATTTTATTCATTTTATTGCTATCGATCATTATATAAATCTCTAGATATCAATTTTATTATCTTTGAAAATTATGTAGATTATAGATATTCATTTAGTTATTTACAGATATGATAATTTTATTAATATAACAATTTTATTATCTAGCAAAGTAATAACTTTATTTCCTTTAATATATTTAATTTATTTTATTTTATTAATTATTCAACATATATAAATATCTCTATATTTCTTTGAGCCTTATCACTGATAAGATATTAATCTTTTAGGACTGAATTTATATGTTATATTAATAAAGAAATATAATTAATCAAGTATAAAACTTATCTGTCATAACTCTTTAAAACTATTATAATTTTTCATGATCCTTTTACATTTATTACAATCTCTTAATTATTATTAGTAAACTTATTAATAATATTGTATTGATTTGCTATATTAACTTGAAGTCTTTGAAATGTAATCTTTGAAATAGCTTTGAATTATCTTTGTATATTTTTCTTATATGTTTTATATTAAGAATAATCTTTGATGTTATTATGAATCCTCATCCATGATTCTTCAAATAATAGTTTTAGTTTTATTTATCCTTTTCGAGATTTTAATTGAAGCTACAAAAACTATTGTAATAATATCACTTAAAATCTATGACATAAAAATTTGATAATAGTCAAGTGATATGTATGGTAATGGACTCTATGGTTAATTAAAATTAAAATCAAAAAATTTAAATATTTTTTATAAAGCTATTTCTAAAATAATAATATATTATTTAAAATTTGTATATATTTAATAATATTGCAAGTTATTATGATTATATGAAAATATTGCTAGAAAAATCAGGTTCTGGGAAATTTTAACAAAAATTTCAATTTTTATATTTTTATTGCATATTAGTTTTTGATGTATACAGATCTTTAGATCTTAATTTTAATCAAAAAAATCGCAAAATCTGATTTTTCTAGCAATTTTCCATGTGTAAAATATAATCATTAATTGAAGATTATGACTAAATTCAGATAAAATCATTATTATTTAATATGAGAAACTATCAGAAACATAAATAATGAGTTAATACTAAATCTTTGAAATCATATTTGGCATATAAAAGTAAATTGATTTTCTGACTGTTTTCCCTTTACTATTGCAAAGGTCTTACATCTTTTTAAATAATGCATAAAATTAAATATTTATATTTTAGTAAAGGTGATTAATAAAGTAAAATACAGTTAGAACTTTATAGGAGGACTTTCACGTGATTGATCGATCGATTTTAATTGAATTTATACAGTTTAAAGTACTTTTCGAGATTTAGATAATCTACTTGATAAAATAAGCTAAAATTTTATTTTCAGCTCTGAAATAACTTTAAAATTCTCCATGTAAAAAAATCAAAAAAGAATCAAAAATCCGGAGAACTTTACTTAGAAGACAAAATATGCCTATCACTAGACCATGTGTAATTACTATATGCCAAAGACGGTCAACTAATTGGAGAAAGGTAACTGAGTTTGTTATTTCCAAAGGTCAAGCTAACCATACTTTGCCAGCTTATATTCATTTAGGCGACACAATATACTTGAACTGTTATAATGAAATCGTAATAAGAAGCTCAGCTGAATTCCGACAATATACTCAAGCAAGTACAGCGCTCATTTTGGAACAACCTCAACCTCCACAGCCTCTGCCTCCACCTCAACCTCAACCTCTGCCTCAACCTCCTCAACCTCAACCTCAACCTCCTAAGTCATTGCCACCCTCACCTTCTATTTTATCCTTTTCTGAAGCAATTAAAATAATAACTGACATTTTATATAATTATGAGAATAGGGAAAGAAATCAATGATATACTCTTAAGATGAATTTCGCACAGTTATGGAGGGGCAAGATGCAAGATTAAAGGGTTTTTTTGATGAGTTATATCTTTCATCTAATCCTTCTTCAAAAAATGAAAGTTCACAGGCATGGGCAAAAAAGCAGTTCCTATTTGCATGCTACTTTCTTTGCAGAATTCGTAATAAGTTTGTTAATGATGCAAAGAGAGATTTGACGGTATATCTGGATTTCACTGGAGTTTCTAATTCCTCCATAGATACTCTTGCTGATCTAGACGTAACCATAATATCTCGTATAATCACGTGATATAAAGCTACCATATCTGATGAAAATGCTAAAACTGTCGATTCTACACTTGCAGAATATGTAGAGAAAGCAATGGTATTAAACATTGACGATTATCATAGTATCTATATGAAACAGATGCCAAATACGATCACTACTTCTACTGCAGCACAATTTTGATAAATCCGATCACTACATAGAGTGCGATTCTAAGTATAAATATACACAATCCTAATTTGGTCGATGCAGAGTTGATAAAACTGAATCTAAATAATAGATTCATAAAGCTTCTCAGTCTTTCGCATAATTAACGTTAGGGATTCTATTCAGTTGATGATAGTACTAAATTAGAAGAATTAACGGTACATTGTTATGACACTAGGTTGAAAGAAAAATGGGATGCTCATTCGATGAAAGACGTTGTTCTTATAGATTTGCAAGAAAATAATCTCCATTCTTTAAATGCATATATCAAGGTTATCAATGCTGTTATAAATGTTCTGTCTATACAACAGTATATTCAAAAGGAATATATTATACCTGTTGTAACTGATTGGCCTGAACAGATCTACCTTCAGACAGCTATTTCTCATTTTATATTATATCATGATCAATCGAATCTTACTAATTCTATTTTATCATTTCTTTTCAGTATAGGTCCCTTGCATATTTGATTAAATAGTCGAGAGCTAATATTTCTTCAATATCAGCCATTTTTTTGGCGATGTACAAATACATTTTTGGAGAATGAAGTCCCCTTGCACAAAAGCCTAAACCATGGCGTATTAATCTTCTTTTAGAGATTTCTTGTTGTACTTGGCAGGAAATTTCAACAAATGTTGAAAGAAAATTTGGATTGCTGTGCAAAGATGCTGAATATCTTGCACTGAAAGATTTACTTAATAACCTAATTCCTCTGGTCCTGGATGTATATGCAGTATTTTTCCAATCTGGTGACTTTGACGCCTATCTAGAATCATGTCTTCATATATGAGTAGTATTTCTTAAGTTCCGCTGCAAAAACTATACCAAAGCACTGTTGATATTCCTTTCAGATATATTCTATTTGGAGTTAAATGATCATCCTATCTTAAAGACTATCAAAGCTGAACTCCCAAAGTTTTCAGACTCAACTGTAGAAATATTTTATAGCTTTCTACGTCAAAGCACACAGAAACACACCAAAGTACAGCAAATCATCAAATGCGAACATTATATCAACCGATTGTGTTTGGATGATAATGGATTTAGAGAGAATATTGCATATACATCCATATAGGCCAGTGTTGTCATGACTGGACAATGGACAATGGACAACACTGGACAAAAAATGCTGTCTATTGTTCATTGATTAAGCAATGGACATATAATTTCGGTATCCATTGTTGTCCATTGTATTTACTTAAATTTATAAATATACAATTAATAAAAAAAATTAAAATTTATTAAAAAACA